GAGAATCAGTGTGAACAAGCTCGACCATATTTGCAATGGTGAAGTGGCGAAGCTTCTAGAACTCAGCATGATAGAAGGGAAGAAGAGAGAATGAAATTGATGAAATGAAGCTTAAGCTTTCATTGATATCACTAAACAGTATATATACACACGCTGCTAGCTGGCACTAAAGAACTACTACTAACTACTAACTAACTGACATAACCAACTATAACAGTGCCTAACTAATTATTAAATAATATATCTCAATAACCATCAACAATCTCCTCATTAATAATCCCCTCGCTGCACCCATAAGAACATTAAAAGGGCTTTATGCCACAATTCTAGTTTATGTAGATATCATTTGAAGCAGCCAAATACATGCCTCGAAGTTCATCCCCGACAAGATTATCTGGTTCATTTAACTATGAAGAATGAAGTAGTAGAACAAAGAAATTAGATTGAAGGTAGAAAAATGTTCACTATTTAAACATTTGTTTCAATGACAGGTCAAAAAATTGCAACAGAATAAAGGAGCATCAAGAATTTTCGCACTAAAATAATCATGGTTAGTATGTATGAATTAGGATTGCTTTTAAAATTTGCGTGTTTCTTAATCATTACATTCCCTGCGTGTTTCATATGCAACCCAATTTAGATGAATATCGATTCACTTATTTTTGGGTCGTCAACATGTCCAGGTCGTAAATTGTGAAAACAAGTATCAAGAACGGTATATTCAAAACAATATAACTACAGAGGAAAGAAAGAACAAAATTCCAGAGGGAACAAGCTACACCGACAAATTTCCCCAAGCTCCTAATACTAAATAGAGAAACTTTATTGCTTGAACTCTGTGCTTCCTTTCTGTCCACTCTAACCGTCAGAATTGATCTTTGCATTATATTGAATCATCTTCCTAGGTGTGGACACTAATTTGCTCCTCAAATTAGATTGTAACAACTTATTTTGCGAAAAGATAAGATTTTATTTATACGTTGATATCACCAAGATGGTACTTAAAATCTGAGTAGTTACAACATTTAGATTGGTAATAAACTTGTTGAGTCTCCACCAAGAAAGTTTCTTGATGACCTTAAAAGAGTCCAACATTGCAATTCATGCACCACTGATGAACTGAAAACTAAACAAAGAATGATCTTTCGACTTTTCCTATTTATTTATTTACCTTCAAACCTAAGAAAAAGAAAAGACCATGGAATGCAATATACCTATAGTGCTCATATTCATGAATATTTCAGATGTGACATGAGTGAATTTCAGAAAAGCAACAATATCAGATGCAAAATTCAACTACAACATAATAATATGCTTATCGCCATCAGCTGAATTTGGGGAAACAGGAAACTAAACCGATGAAATAAACTCCGAATAGATTAAGAACTGTTAGGATATGTAGTTATATGTAGTTAGCTAGTTAATCACTGTGCAGTTAGTTAGTTAGTGAAGTGTAATGTGGCAGCTAGTTTACAGCTGTCATATCTAGAGTTGGGATAAGTTAGACACTACACGTTTATATATACATTGCACTGTATTCATTTTAGAATCAATGAGATCAGATATTTTCTCTCTCAATTCCCTCTCTATCTGGTTTAGTCATGTGGTTCCATCATTGAGTTAGCTTGCTTCCTCCATGGAGAAGCTTGAGCACAACACACACACTGTAAATTCTCATGGTATCAGAGCAATAGAGACTGGAATTTCCGTGAATTCAACTCGTTTTTGAGTAGATTCAAAGATCGTCATCTTCGAAGCTCAACAATGGCAGCAGAAAAAATCGATCACTCTCTCCTTCAGACACACCAGGTTCTATTCTGATCCTCTCAAACTCACTAAATCAAAGAATTATGGTATTTGGCGTAGATCGATGCGAATAGCTTTACAAGCTAAGAGAAAGTTAGGGTTCGTATTAGGCACATGCAAAAAGGACTCGTTTAAGACTGATCTCCACGAGGATTGGGAAACATGCAATGTTATCGTGCTTTCCTGGATCATGGACACTGTGTCACTGGACCTTCTTAGTGGTATTGTCTATGCATCAAACGCGGACCTAGTCTGGGAGGATTTGCGAGAAAGGTTCGATAAGGTGAATCGAGTTAGAATTTTTCAATTACATAGGGGAATTGCTACAATAACTCAAGGTACAGATTCAATTCAACATACTCCACAAAGCTGAAGGAATTATGGGCAGAGTACGATGCCATGGTTCCTTCACCAGGATGTGGTTGTGCAAAATCAAAGGAGAACATAGAGCATTTTCAGACGCAGAGGTTGCTTCAGTTTTTGAGTGGACTTAATGACTCCTATGATCAGACAAGGAGACAATTGAAAACTGTTGAACCAACCATAAAACAAGCCTATGCAATGATTGTTGAGGATGAACGCGAAAGGCTTAATTCTGCTGGTTTTGAGAAAGCTGACCCATTAGCAATGCAAGTGAGTCGAGGGGAGCCCTATAAAGGAAAGAAGCCTTTTAATGCAATGTGAATACTGCAATATGAAAGGGCACTTGAAGGAGAATTGTTACATATTGGTGGGATACCCTGCAGACTTCAAAGGAAGAAAGAAGTACTCAGCCAACAATGTAATCAGTAATGTGGATTTAGACAACAAATCATGCGTGAAGGACGGAAATTTCAATCCTAACAGCACTGAAGATGGATATTTCTTCGCCAAAGATCAGTATGATCAGATACTCACCATGCTGAACAAAGGAGTTGATGATTCATAGGGAAACAAGACAAGTATAATCACAACACTCATGCAGATTTAAAATGTAGTGTGTTAATTGACTCAGGTGCTTCACATCATATCACTGCCAGTTTAGAATTGTTAAACACAAAAAGGAAGCTTAATCCACAAAATGGAGAACAAGTTAATTTTACCTACTGGGAAAAAGACAGCTATTACTCATATAGCAGTTGCATGATTCCTGGATAACATGAGTGTGCAGAATGTATTGTTTGTTCCTGATTTCAAATTCAATTTGCTCTGTCTCAAAACTGACCAGGGATCTCTCTTGCTCTGTCAATTTCTTTCCTGAATTTTGCATATTTTAGGACCTTTACAGTGGTGGGATGAGGGGTATTGGTAGAGAGAAAGGAGGGCTGTACATAGTAAAGAATTTTCTCCATAAAGTGGCAAAGGAACCAGTCACAGCTGCAGCTATGCAAAGTGAACAGGCAAATGGAAAGTTGTGGCATGCAAGACTTGGACACCCTTCAGTGAGCACTATGAAGCATATAATCTTCTTACAAGATACAGTAAAAGATGTTAGCTCAATCACTGATTGACCAATATGCCCACTAGCTAAGCAGAGCAGGTTGCCATTTCCTAGCAGTAATTCTAAGAGTTCACATATTCTAGAAATGCTACATATAGATATTTTGGGACCTTATAAGACCCCTACTTATCATAAGAAGCAGTATTTCTTAACCATTGTTGGTGATATGTCAAGACATACTTGGGTGTTCTTACTACAATTTAACACTAATGTGATTTTTGTTCTAATGAAATTTCTTCCTATGCTTAAAACACAGTTCTCTGCCACTGTAAAGATAATTAGAAGTGATAACGGTACTGAATTCCTCAATGTCAAGTGCAATGACTATTAGATTCTTGTGGGATCATACATCAAAGTAGTTGTGTTTATATACCACAACAAAATGGAATTGTTAAACGTAAACATAGACACATACTTGATGTTGCAAGAGCACTTAAGTTTCAAGCAGGAATTCCAACCAGATTCTGCGGAGAATGCATAGAGGCTGCTGTCTATGTCATTAACAGACTTCCAACTACTGTGCTCAATGGGAAAGTCCATTTGAGATTCTGTATGGAAGAACACCTTCCTTGGCACATTTAAGGGTATTTAGCTGCTTGTGTTATCCGGTCAATTTGCCTAAACAGGACAAGTTTTTTCACCTAGAGCCAAAGTTGTTGTGTTCCTTGGCTATTCTACAACTCAAAAGGGTTACAGATTGCTGGATTTGGCGTCCAAACTCCTTGTGAGTCGGGATGTTGTGGTCAAAGAACACATTTTTCCATTCAAGAAGGACATGTCTGTCTCCTTTCCATTCAGTGTTGAACTGCCTGCATTTACAAGACCTCATGATAGGGGGAGACTTGCTAATCATGAGGAAGCTGGGCACTATGATCATGAAAGTGAGAAAACTCAATCTGCTCAAACTCCCTTGGATCCTGCTCATGATTCAACAGATACTCCAGATGAGCACACTCTAAATCCATTGGCTGATCATGATACAACAGGTAATCCAGAAGAGAATAATTCTTCTGATGATGAGGAGTTTGAAGACAGTTCCCCAGCTACTTTAGACTCAGGATCAGATGAAGGGGAGACACAATCAGACCTTGCTGCAGATGCAACACCACAACTTGATAATCTTGATACAGAAATTGCTGGCCTTGCTCTTACAACTACAGTTGACACTTCTGAGACCTTGAGGACATCAGGAAGAACTAAAGCACCATTGTGGCTTCAAGATTACATGACCAGCAAGAAGGCAAATGGAGCAACACTTTACTCTATAGCTGACCACATGTGTTATGATAATGTAACACAAAAATACAGTTGTTACTTAGCCAAAATCTCAGCACTGACAGAGCCACAGAGTTTCAAGGAAGCCTCAAAGGACAAGAAATGGATGGAAACAATGCAGATGGAAACTAAAGAATTGGAAGACAACCATACATGAGAGGTTGTTGACTTACCTAAAGGGAAGGCTGCTATTGGATCAAAATGGGTTTAAAGGATCAAATACAAAGCAAATGGAGATGTAGAAAGGTTCAAGCCTAGATTGGTGGCCAAAGGTTACAACCAAATGAAAGGGTTGGACTATCATGAAACCTTTTCTCCAGTAGCTAAAATGGTAACTATTAGAGCAGTCATTGCATTGGCAGCCACAAAAGGATGGACAATGTAGCAGATGGATGTATTCAATGCATTCTTACAAGGAGATTTGGAATAGGAAGTATACATGGAACTCCCTCCGGGATTTAGAAGACAGGGGGAGACCAATGTTTGCAAACTTATGAAGCCACTATATGGGCTAAAACAAGCTTCAAGGCAGTGCAACATAAAGCTCACAGAAGCCTTATCAGAAGCAGGATACAAACAGAGTTTATATGACTACTCATTATTCACTAAAAGAAGTGGAGATGACTTTGTGGCAATTCTGATTTGTGTGGATGATTTGCTGATTACAAGAAGCAGCAACAGATTCATACAAGAAGCAAAGGATGTTCTGCATCAGAAGTTCAAGGTGAAAGACCTTGGAGAGTTAAGATACTTCTTGGGAATAGAAATTGCAAGATCAGTCAAAGGAATCCTATTAAATCAGAGAAAGTATGCACTCCAACTAATCTCAGACCTTGGATTAGGAGGCACCAAACCAGCTGCAACACCAGTAGATTTGAACCAGAAGTTCACTTCTTTGGAATTTGATACACATGCAGGAATAACAGGAAATGAGGCATTAGATGACATAACAGCTTACCAAAGATTAATTGGGAGGCTATTGTATTTGACAATAACAAGACCTGACATAAGCTATATAGTGCATACATTAAGTCAATTCATGCAAGCACCAAAGAGATCACACAGGGATGCAACTGTTCAAGTGGTGAAGTATGTAAAGCAGGCACCATGAGTTCTTATGAGCAGCAAACAGGCAGACAGTTTGACATGCTTTTGTGATGCAGACTGGGCAGCTTGCCCCAATACCAGGAGGTCAATGACTGGCTTCATAGTAAAATTTGGAGAATCTCTTGTATCTTGGAAGTTGAAAAAACAACAAACTGTATCAAGAAGCTCTGCAAAGGCAGAGTACAGAAGCTTGGCAGCAGTTACAGTAGAGGCAACATGGCTATAGGGGTTGTTTGCAAAACTAAATGTATCAATTAAACAACCAGTAGACTTGTTTTGTGACAGTAAAGCACACTACAGATTGCAGCAAATCCTATATTTCACGAGAGAACTAAGCATATAGAAATTGATTGTCACTTTGTGAGAGACAAGATCAAAGAAGGGGCAATCATTACACACTACATTGGATCTAAAGATCACCAGGCTGACTTGTTGATAAAAGGTTTAGGCAAGGTGCAACATTGTTTTTTGCTTGCCAAGCTGGGAGTTATTAACATTTTACAGCCCCCAGCTTGAGGGGGAGTGTTAGGATATGTAGTTATATGTAGTTAGTTAGTTAATTACTGTGCAGTTAGTTAGTTAATGAAGTGTAATGTGACAACAAGTTTACAGCTGTCATATCTAGAGTTGGGATAAGTTAGACACTACACGTGTATATATACATTGCATTGTATTCATTTTAGAATCAATGAGATCAGATATTTTCTCTCTCAATTCCCTCTCTATCTGGTTCAGCCATGTGCTTCCATCATTGAGTGAGCTTGCTTCCTCCATGGGAGAAGCTTGAGCACAATACACACACTGTAAATTCTCAAGAACCTTGAGTAATCTCGTGAGAGAGCATTTCTGCCAACGGCCGGCAAAAAATTTTTTGGACCAGAGTATCACCGCCGACGATGAGGCAAAAAATTTGGAACTCTGATGTTGAGCTTTTTCCATATAAACTCTTGAAAACTACCGCTCTTGGACGGTGTGGAACTATCTACTGCATAGATAGAATATGCCCACATTCAACGATAGCATCGAAAGTTGTGTACTAATCTTTGGGACTTTCCATTTTAAGCGATTACATGATTCTGAAGATGGAGTACTCCAACCTTCAACTTCTACCTTTGTGTTTTGAACAAATTTTTGCAGATCCGAATTGCGACATGACCCGATAAGCTGTCAATCACGCAGTCATAGAGTTGCGCACCAGAGCACTAACAGTACGCAGTAGTAGTGTCATTTTCTTCAGAATGCCAACAGAATGGTATATCCCAGAAAATTAGGATAACCCTCAATAAATATCAGTACTTCAATAGGCCTTTTACCTCAATAGTGGCGTCATTTTATTCAAAATGAAAGGAATGACACTGCTTTAGCATTAGCAAATCCATGTAGAATACAAATAAATGCTTCCATTGAGTAAAAGAACACATCAAACTGAAATTAGCGTAATAATGACAAGTTTTTGGAATTGTCAGCAACTCGAACTCCAAGCTCTCAACTATCCAAATAATGTCATTGTTAAAACTATTTCTCAGAAGAGCTTTCATAACATCTTCAATTCCCACTTTTTACAGGAAGCCTCAATAACATCTCCTGTCCAATTAATATAAAAGCTTCAGTATTTAAAGGTAATTGGCTATAGTTAATTAAAAAGCTTCCCAGGGATTCCAAGTGTCACGTGTCGACAGTTCCTAATTCTAATATTGAAATAACTCAAAAAAAAAAAAGGGACGCCACCCTTGATCCATTAGAAATAATTTTTTCAGGCCACAGTTATCCATCTCCATCCTTAATGCCATATTCCTTTTGTTCCTCCAAAATATCTGTATTTTTCTTATGTGAATCAAATCAAAACCAAAGTACCACTTGCGCGTACTTTGCACTGTGCTATCTACCAATATAGAATCAAAGGGGGCAACAATAGCTCCTTCCCGAAAGTTGTTTGGCCACTTGCATCTGCGATAAGTTTTGCGACACTACTTGTGTTATATTCCCTGGAGCAAGCATCAACATTTGAGATATCTGCAGTTTTATCTTTCTAAGACCTTCATCGAAGACCTTCTGCTCCTTATTTTCCACGATTTCAACACCAGGAAATACAATATCTAAAGTGGCCTTGCATTTTCTATCATTCTTGTATACTCTTGCCGAGTAATATGTTTAGATGTTTTATCACCTTGGAAGTAGATTGCGAGGAACCATATTTTAGTCGACTGTTGTAAGCTGACCCTACAAGTTTCAACATCATTCTCCTTTTATTAAGAATAGACCCAATTGCCTTTTCGTAAATCCTAGCTTGTTCTATAGCATGACTTAATGTACAAGGTCGAAACAATTTTACCGACAGGTTGATTTCCTCCCTAGTTAAGAAATAAGCTTCATGCAAAGCAGCATTTTTACCAACATTTGAGCTCTCACTGTTACAAATTCTTCTAAATAATCCTTAACTCTCCCCTTCTCAATCAATTTATTAAATGCCAGATACATAGATAGACATTTAAAGTCTCAACCTAGAAAATTTCTCGGTGACCTTAAAACTTAACCGTTGCAATACAGACACCAGAGCACTACTATGCTGAAATGAAAACTAAAGAAAGACCGCGTAAGATATACTTTAAGTGCTCATATTCATAAATTTTTCAGGTGCTTCATGAGTGAAATTTACAAAAACATTAATATCAGAATAAGAAATTACACTAGGGCATAATATGCCTATCACCGTCAACTAAATTTGGGCAGAAGATAAAAGAGGGACGAGGAAAGGAAGAGTTTACGGACCTTAAGAGAGTGTATCGGCGCCAACGACCGGCAAAAAAAGAATTTGAACCGGAGCATCGCCGCCGGCGAGAGGGCAAAAAAATTTGGACCATTTCTCGATTTGTGCGTGTCATCCTTGCGCAGGGGCCATGCTAATCTTCTCTGTATCGTTCCAATTTTATCGGATGTCCCCGAAGGGACGAACTCCGTTGTTGAGCTTCGAACTATAGAGTCTGAAGAGCTTCAGTTCGTGGTCAGTGTGGGACTATTAGTTTAGGGGTCTCGTTGGAATAGAACTGGAAAAGGGACTGACTTGCTCGTTTACTTGAGCCCTTTTCTAAAAGCCCATAACGAAATGGGCTGCTTGTGGACTATACTACTATAATAGAAGAATATTGGGAAACTTACACAAATGTCCCAAATAAATCTCAACTTACCAACTTCTAGCCATTAGTCATAGACTTATCAAAACTAGCCAACAAAAATTGAAAAACCAAATAATAGGGTTCTTTCTCTCAAAGAATCACATGCAAAAATTACCTTCCATATTTTTAAGCGTGATTAGCAACATTAGATACAAGACGGAAAGGAAATTTCATGGACGAGCAAATAAGGTGATGAAATACAAAAATCTATACAATATTCTAAAAACCTAAACAAAAAAAAGAACTTTTTCAATGGGTATAGTTGAAAATCATTGAAAATATATAGATAAGTCAATATACAAAATTTGAGGAAGATTGGAGGTGATTTGGACTGGTTTTGCATCAAAATTCGTAATTAAATCGAGTTCAAAAAAGTCTTCTGCGACGCACGTATCAAACATGTATAACGCATGTATCTCACACACAGGTATACATGGATATAGATGTGATACACAATTGATACAGATATATGATACATATGTGATACACAGTGTGATACACATATCATTTTTTTTCATGTTCAGCTTTTACTTCGAATTTTCAATTCAAACCAGCTTAAAACTTCACCAAATCATCCCAAAACTGAGATTCAAGCTCCTTAAGTTGTGCCCAATCTATTCTAATAACACTCACTCAAAACAAAGCAAAAATTTGATATTTTTTGCTACAAATTGCTAATTGGCTAATTTGGCTAATATTAGTAATATTTTATCAATTGGCCAATTTTTGTAATGAGCTACTCGTAAATGGACATAGCTGATAATTTCCCTAATAGAAGGGATATGGAATTTTTACCTTCTATAGCAAAGGTTAACACCTTATTTATTTTAAATAAATACCATTTAAATAAATTATATGGTTATCTCCTACACTTAAGCCACTAAACACGTTATTTTTTATTTTTCTCTCTCCCTTTTCAGATTTTTCTCTCTCATAATTATCGTATTTTATAAAAACTTCTCAATACACGTTCTTTCTCTCTCTATTTTGATACACTTTATTCTCTTTCCCATTTCTTGTAAACACGCTCAAAAGCAGAGAAACCTCTCACCCACACCGCTTCCTTCTTCCCCAGTCTCGGTATAATCCATAATTTCCTCTCGATTTTCGTCATTTGTTTCTATAATTAGTGTGGTAAGTATTTAAATTTTTTGATTTTCGCTATTTTTGTTTATTCTCAACATCTCTACTCACCAAGTTTTCTCTAATGAACAGTATCCAAGCGTATTCTCACAATGTCTAATTCAACACCCCGCAAGTTAATTACCAGAGGTATACCCACTAAAATTCTCACTTTCGATGGGCCCTCTTTCTCCTTGCAAATCGCTCAAGGGGAATTGGATGCAAGTTTAGCCAATAATATGGCATTGGAGAAGAGAACAAAATCTTGCCCCATGACAATTTCAAAGAAACCCAAGTTGAGAAATCGTTGAAGGAAACAAGACTTCCCTGCGGAAAAGAGGGAAAAAGATATTTTTGAAGCTTTATCTGTCAAGTGGAAGGAGGTTGAAGCAAGTAAAAGCTCGGATACACTGGAAGAAAAGGTATTTTCTGATGTATTCATCTGTATTGTTGATGTATTCATCTGTATTTATATGTATAAACATGTTGACTTCTCTGTTTTTTATGTATATAAATACATGTAGATGTATTTAGATTTATTCAAAAAGTATATTCAATGTATTTTTGTACTTACAAAAATCAATGATACAAATATGTATATGTATTGTGATGTATACAAATTGACTTTTATTAAATTGTATGTTGCAATTTAGATTTATTTAGATGTATTCAAATAGTTCTTTCACTATTTTTTACCTTACTAGACTGACCTTTCATATTTCATTTAGTTGTATTTATAAGGATTTTCAAAGTTCCCATCACTGTTTTATTCTAATTGCAATGTCTTTATTTGTTGTATGTGTATGTATTATATGTGTACATATATTTCGATCGCTGACTTCTTACTCCAGTTTATTTTTGCAGTTTGTATTTAGTTGTATTTATATGTATTCATATCAGTTGTACTATGAAATATGTGTTGTATTCAGTT